GACGTTGTTTGCATATGTAACTAGATGAAGATGTTTTCTTATATACTTAGAAGTCAAGTAAATTTTGATGATGAAATTTTTATTAGGAGGGTAGAATTGTAAAACTCAAAAAATACTTAATAGTTGTGTAACGTCTCCTTGCGACGCACTGCGACGAAAAATAGTCAAATTTTCAAAGATTTTGGATTTCGATGAAATTAATTTTATAAAATTATAAATTTAATTTCGATCATTTTGATATAAAGAACTTATGTTAAATTTCATACGGTTTGAGAGATAAAAATAACCAAAGTTTATTAATGTAAAAATTACTTAATAGCCCTTAAGGTCTTTAAGGAAACTAATTCATGCAAAGGTAGATTGGACATTTGGCTTTCTCCCCATCGCCTAAATGAACTAAAGGGACCGAACCATTCATTCCCTTTTTATTCCACGCCATTTTCTTTCGGTCAAACGTGAGAGAGAAGGGGGCAACGACGAATGTGTTCCGGCAACATTTTCCGGCGATTTTTCTTGAGGAAATCAAAAGGGAGGCTTGAGGAAGAGAAATGGTAAGTTCTTAAATCTAGAAATCATGTTTTTCTTTTAGATTTCTTTAAGAAAAATTTCTAGGGTTTTCCCAAAACCTAGAATTTTTCAAGGGGATTATTAGGAATTGTAGGAGGAATGATTCTAAACCTAAAACTGAAAGTTTCTCCAAATTTTAGTGAGCTTCCAAAAGTTAGGGTTTTACAAATTTTTGATTTCTAGGAAAATTTCTTAACAAAAATTATTCTTAAAAGTCTTAGAAAAGTATTTAATAATGAGATGACAAGATATGTGTGATTGCATGTATATGTTGAATTGGAGTTTACTCCCTTATGATACTGACTGGGGATGCAATGTACTCGTGCACATTAATGGTGAAGGAAAAGGAAATAGTAAAGGAAAAATGAGTACTATTATAGGTACTAAAATTTAAGATGGCACCTGTGAAAGTTGTACTGTTTATGAAAATGAGAATGATATAAATACATATATGACGAATGCAAATTGAATATAATATGACATGCATTTTTTAATTCTGCATAAAATTATGCATTTAAGCATATGATGAAATAAATGATATGATTATATGAAATGAAAATTTTAAGTTATGTAATAAAAAGAGATTATGCATATTGCTTCTACTACAGTGAGTAAATGTAGTTTAAAAACATTTGTTACTCGCTACTGTGGCTTACTTTTGTTGCTCTAACATTTTTTTCAGGTGTAACCTAATAAACAAAAAATGAAAAGGGGAAATGTATATTGTAGACATAATGCATTGGAAGAAAGGTATTTAAGTTAATTTTTTATCAGTTTATATTTTTAATGTTTAGTGGATCTTTCAGTATATTGGAGATAGAATTAGAAAAAAAAAATTAATCTACCATCCGACCGTCTGTTCCCGCCTCATTAATTCGAACCCCCAGCCCGAGTCATGACAAGATTGGAGGGTGGGAACATCCCTCTTTCATTACAACCATCGATTCAGCAGTTCAGTGCGGCTTTTCAGCCACCTCAAAGACTGTCACTGCAAAGGGAGTAGGAGCATCCTATCACCATGGGAAAAGATATGTCACCCATCAGTGTCAAGCCCTACCATTATCTTCAAATTCAGAAGGATGGAATTGTGAAGTTGATTAGAGAGATAATGGAGGCAGGGATCATTCAACCTAGTGTCACTCTAATTTTCAATCCAGTGGTAAGTGCTTTAATAGCAGTTTTGTTCGTTCCAACTTGACAACAAGGTGGGTCTTCGAGAGAGGAGTATTATTAGATCAGTCCATTGGACCAATCCAGCCGGTCCTTCCGAACTGGCCTGGGCGAAAAGAGGCGGAACTCTCTGTCTCTTCTGTATGAGTCGCACAAGCCGTCGGATCCTATGGAGCTGTTTCAGAAGGATTTTTGAGAGAGTTAAAAGGGAAATTTGAATGTAGGGACTGTTTAGAGATTTCCTTTTCGATTGTATGCATTAAATAGTTTGTTTTCCTAGGGTTAGGGCATCTTGAATTTGACTGAAATTTGAGATCTCTTAGGTTTTTTGGGCTCTAGCAACGCCTAGAGATTTGGGAGAGATAGATCCTCCTCACGAATAAAGGCTCAATTGTATCTTGTTATTTTTCTTCCATTCTATTTGATTCTTACAATAAAATTACTATTTTTCTTTGGTTTTCCATTGAATTGGAGTTTTCTTGTTGTTTTTCGAAGATTGATAGGAAAAGTTTAAGATCTACAAGTGTTTCCTAACAGAGACCTTCTACCTAATAAAATTCTCTTCATAGTTGGTCCTTTAGATTCGTTAGCCTATAAAATTTTTAGGTTCTTTTGGGAGGAGCTTTGTCAACAATAATAGCTTCAAAAAATCTCTTTTGATGCGCTGGTTGATGCACAAAATGTGATTGAGGCCCATAACATAGCCTTATAATAGTTGTTATGGCAATAATAATAGGGATTTCTAGAGAAAACTACATGGTAGCTCCAGATTCTCTGGTGTTTATAACTACATTAGCTAGGCCAATGTTATCTCCATACCCTAGCTATATGGTAAAAAAAATTGAACATTTATTTTTGAAAGATTTTAATTAGTGGAAAATTTTTGGGATTAAACGCAAGATATTATGCCATATAACTCATAAACACGACCTTTTTTATGAAAAATAAATTTTCAAACTAGTTTTCCTTTCTGCTGGGAACTTTCACTAGCAACTTCTCAAGTTTAAGACTAATGCATCACACCTTATAAAGGTTGCTCAAGTTTTGGAGTAATTGCAATAGATGAAATAAATTAAGCTTTTTTTTTTTTAGTTGCTAATATACTGCATGTATAACTAGCTAAAAATAAAAAAGAAATCCTCTCAAAGTAGAGTTGCCAGAAATTTATGGGGTCTAAAAATTCATGCTTGGCTCTTATGAGAGATTGTGTTTCAAGTCAAATTTTCAAAAGAATATTATTGATAAAATATTGCCTAGAGATTTTACTCTCATTTTATAGAATTTTAAGATCTAATTTTGAATTTCCTACCGGCAAAGCCCCATGATTAATTATCACTCTCAATGATGAGAGAAACTTTTGATTAAGTCTAGTCGAATATACGCTAAATGTTTAGGTTATACTAGCATCAACTTGAATTTTAAGATTGAAAAAATTTACCACCATTAGCTTGAAGGAGATAATGGAGGAAATGACAACAATCCCAAGCTCCAACGGATTGTTCATCTTGGATTGTCGTGAACGGCAGTCTACTTAATCTACAGAGATAGTCAACCCAAGTTCATTGAAGGATCCTTATCGGCAATTATGGATTGTGCCTTCCGAGGGTACCTTCGAGAGCTAACGTGGATGTTTGTCTAAGGTAGATAATTCCCTAGGACTTTTGTAAGTTCTTAATTATCTTTCACCCTTATTGCTCCTCTTTTCCAGCACAATTCCCTTTATATAGCCTCGAACCTAGCTCCCTCAACCCCAAAACACATCTAAGCCGTTGAAACCTCTCCCAAATATTTCCCTAAATACATCATAACCTCTCAAAAGATAAACCCCCCAATAACCTTAAGATACACTGGCCAAAAATCCAATATAAAGACATAACTTTTAGCTGTGAGAAGCCAGACTAAAAATATTATAACTCTTTAAACACTAATCTAAAATCTATAAAAATACCACAATTACTTTTTAATATCCAAAACCTTTGATCTAGAGTTCCTACCCTTTTTTTTCAAAAGAAAAATTTATTTTAAATAGCTTAGGAGTTTCAGCACCAAAATATATCCAAATCATAAATACCCATTTTATCAGCACCAGATTAACCCTTGAACCACCACCCTATGGTGACATCAATCAAGTTATTGACTTCATCAAAAGATCCTATAGACCCTATAGTAAGCTCTAGAATTTAAGATTGCAAGAATTCCATGCTTGGGATTGCAAAAATGTGTACGCCTCATCTAACAAATGGCATCCAATTGATAGTAAATGGTCAAGGCTGATGCTATAAGATGGGCTATAAAAGCATTTGATTACATTAAATAGCCTCAAACATTACAAAGTTGTTTGAAACTTGAAGTCAATTAAGTTGGGAAGTCGGCCAACCAAACAAGATCTACTAATCACTAGAGTTAATATGGCAGCCAGGCTTCAAAGTCCATGCTCCCCTATCTTTAACCTAGGAGAAAATACCAAGTGAATTAGTATAAGTTGACCAAATCTTTAACCTAGTGTGGTTGATATTGAGCACTCAGCTTAAGGTAAGTTGGTCCAATGTTAGGCAAGTAATTGGAATCATTTCAAATTCACCATATTACTTCATTAATCTAATCAAGATAAATGTGCAAGAATAAAAATCAAGTCAATAAGAAATGAAACGCAAAATAAAAATCATTTGTTTCTTATTGCTATAAGATAATGTAACTTATCAAACTGTGTTAAAAATTATATAAAATCAGTTTTTAACCAATGCTTAAGATGCCAAGCATAGGTTAGACTAAAGAAGCAACAAAATGTGTTGTAATTAAAAAAAAAAAACTGTGCAAAGAATTAGATTCTTGGGATAGTACACTAGCAAGCCAACTAAGAGTATGCCAAACCAAGTTTAAAATAATAAAATAGGGCATTGTGGCAAAATGAAGGAAAGTTCTCCTGCATATTTGCACATTTCTTTTATGTGGAGCGGGGTCACATTAGACTGGCATCAGATAAATAACATCCACATGCATCGAAAGAAGTAATACACACAATGGTCCCCCATTATTTCAAGTAAACTAAAATAACCAATTGCTGTAATTACTTCCATCAAATCACCACAAGTGATTGCATTTAGTTCAAAATTTTCAATCTTTCTATTGTGTTAAAGCTCGTTGAGGAAATTATTAGATTAAATCAGCTAAAAATGATGGCGTGCAAACAATATTAAAGATAAACCATCAAAGTGACTAGCATAAGAGGTTAAATCTTTTTTCAAGGAGAACATGCTTAATACCTCCAATTCAGCATTATCATTCGCAGCCTGGTTTAGCTTTTCCTTTAACTCTGATAGAGAGTTCCTGAGAAACTTAACCTCTTTCACAAGAACTTTAATATCTGTTTTTGAATCCTTCTCCAGCTCTTCCAGACGTCTCTGTAATTTTTCTATTTGTTCTTGCTTGGTAACCAGCTCCTGCTCTGACATACCGGCACTTGTTTTTTCTGCCTTAACATGATTTTTTTCAATCTGTTAAAAGTGAAGTTGGTAACAACATCAATAAAATAGAACATCGATGCCTATTTCAATTAGTGTAAAACTAGAGGTTTGAGAGACAAAGAAGCAAACCTGTTCAAACTTAAATTTGGTTTCCAACTCTAGATACTTCTGGGTAAGTTCATCCATAGCCCATTGGGTTTGTGTGAGTCTTTCTCTTTCAAGTAAGATGGCTTGCTGAAGATTTTCTTTACTTCTCTGCTTAGTGCTGTTGAGGTCAACTTCTAAATTCTTTACCTAAAATTATGATTTTTTTACATGATTAAGTGATGTAGCATATAGAAATCTGTATATGCCTTAACAGGTGAGAATCTATAGCGGTGGTACACGATAATAACGTCACAAGACAAACAATTGATGGAATAGTGAAAAAATTGCTTTAGCTAGCTAATAGATCAGCAGTTCCACTAAGTTAAGCATATCTGAAAATAACTGTAGAAATTGCACCATAATTATATAGAAGAAAAGGCTACACTGGTAAGAAAATTATAAAAAGAAAATTAAAAATAAAATTGTAATTCCAAGGGGCCATTTGGGATCACTCATGTCTTTAATTTATTTTTCATTTTTGCTTTGTTTTTTATTTAATTTTGTTGTTTTAATACGAAATAAAAGCATGTTTGACATTAATTATTGCTTTCATTTTTATTGAATACTCCATAAGGTGGTGATGGACAATGAGGCAATATTCTCACCTTTCTTGCAAGGAACTCTTTCACCATAATTTCTTGGTTCAACCGTGCTATAAGATCCTCCATGTCTGTTTGTGCTACCATTTGTCTATGTTGCATGATATTAAGAAGCTTCGTTATTTTGTGTCGCTCATCAAGAGGAAGAAAAATTTGCGTCTCATTTGGGGATTGACTTTCTGTGTTGCTCAGAGCTTCCGCAATAGGAAACTCGATGCAACTAGATGAATCAACGGACTCATCCCAAACTAAGCTGGTAACTCTAGGAATTAAAAATTCACTATCTTTTATAGAACCCGTATCACTCCCAATACTATCATTTGAAAGCATTAGAGAATGAATAGAAAGCTTTTCATGATCCAGTTCTGAAGCAGAGTCAATTTTATCTCTCAAAAGGATCATCTCATCTGAAAAATTTCTTGAAGATGCACAACCATCTGCATCAGAGTTGTATTTAATTTGTTGTAAGCTAGATATACCCTCCGCTTGGTCAGGCAATTCATGAACCACCACATGACCATTACTGCCATATCCTACAAGATCAGTCGATTTGTCAAATAACACGGGTAATTTTTAAAAATAAAATTAAGGATTCAATTCTTCAGTACTGAATTTACTAAGAGTTTCAGAATCAGAAGTTCCACTTGCAATGCTTTGTGTCGCACCAGAGGTTCCTGATTGAGACTTCCAAGCTATTGTTGAGAATTCTGCAGAAGCACCTGAAATGCTTGTTTCTAGAGAAGGTTGACCAGCATCCTGAAAAGCTGAAATTGATGAAAATGTAAGAAAAATTGGTGCATTTATGCAATAAATCGTCAATTATTTTAAGCTTCCCGATAGTAATTTTAATTGATGAACTACTATTGATTGTCAGACAGTATGATCAAACTTTTTTGGTACTGGAAAAGAAAGCATAGGGCTTTAGATCAGAAAAAGAAAATTGCAACTTTTAACTCTAAACTCGAAGAAGTCACCTACATGAACGTGCAGCAGCTTCAAGCTCAAGAAAAGAAGCAACAGGAGCACTTCTTGACAGGTCTATGTCAGAGAGAAGCTTACCCATCCACTCCTCCAATGCACGCCTTCTCTGCAATGAAACTAATAATTTGAGAATGATTAATTACCAATTAAGTAAAAGCAACAGGAGCAAAACAGAGAAACATTCAATGTAACGACAAAAATCTTCTCCCATCTTCGAAAGTGAAACCGCTGTTAAGGATATAGAAAAAAACGAAAAGTTATATCCTAATTTTACAATGATTTTAGATTGGATATCAAGCCATTGAATGCAAAATTAGCAGTTGCATCAAAATATTCATGTTAGAAGTGAAAGAGAGGGAGAATTATAAATAACTATAATTTCAGTGAATTATCTCTCTAGTAAAAACAAATAAAATAAAAGAGATTGATCAAGAACAATGAAGAAACATAAAAATAAAAAATAATACAAATTCCTACTATAAATAAATTAGCACAGGTGGTAATTTTGATATGATAAAGCGCTCCTATAAACTCAAGATGATATAGAAGATGACAAGTTGAGTTTGGAAATATTAGTTAGGGCTGCAAATGAACCAAGCCAACCAGTGCAAGAGCTTGCTCGAGCTTAAGGTCATTCATCAAAACCTTTTTAAAGCTCAAGCTCGACCTCAATCTCAATTTGAGTATTTGTAGTAGTGTTCAAGGTCGATTAATTTAAATTATTCAGCAATTTATAGTTAATTCAACAAGTCTTATTGAGCCTATTGATGAGCAATCTATTAAGTTTAAAAATAAGACTGATAAATGAAATGCTAAATAAATAAGCATAAGCAAGTAGCTTATAGTAATGAATAAAAGCAATCTAATATAGAAAAGAACAAGGCTTTCATATAATCACATTAAATAAATTTGCAATCAAGTTTTAAATGAGCATATTATCCAACTTCAATCATGATTCTAAATAAGCAAGTTAATGAGTTTTAAATTAGAACATTCTTGATTATTAGATGAATCAAACACCAAGTTGTTCAAATTTGATCATTTATCAATCGAGAATCTATAAAAGTGTTCAAGATTATATTAGTTAATTAGATAATCATGAACGAGCTCTAACCGGGCCAAGCAACAAGTAGCTTGCCAATCATATTGATTGATTTTCAGCCCTAATTTTAGTGACTACAGGTGAAATAGTCGAATGTTTTCTTGCCCAGGAGTTATGAGTTTTGCAAGAGGACTGCGACAAATCCATGAAATAGAAAACTATGCTAATTAGATAGAGTTGTTAATGAAATACATGTCAAAAAAGTACAAATAAGAGAGTTGTTGGAGAGTGTCAATAGAGGGAATCAAATGAGAGGATTTATGAAGAACATCATGTAGTGATGACAAAAGTCACCAATGAAATCATTTCTAGAGAATAAAGGAAATTGCAAAGGTGAACAGATATGGAACAAATAAAAGAGGCGAATGATGATGATGCGTATTATTTGGCCGATGAAAAATACCAACAAGGTGGCAAGAAGTGAAGCTGAAATAAAATATCATGTGGAAAGTAGATGGGTTGAGATCAAAGAGGGTTATGGTTTTGGGGGAAGGAGAATAGGATTTAGAGGCAATAAACATCTTGTTGATGCGTGCAACTACAAAATACCCTTACGGGTTTGAATTAGTTTGAGTTTTTGTGGGAAGGTAATTTAGCCTATTTATGGGAGCTATCCATAATGCTATTTGTGCAAAAAAGAATAACATGGCACCAGCTTACCTAATTTTATTCTTCAATTGTCAACCTTAATTATCAAGAGTTACTAGACAATGCCTCCATAAACACATTTTAAACTTCCAAAAATACTAATGAACTTTTGCACGCAAGAAAGTTGAGTTGGACTACTTTTTGCCTAAATTTCATCTCCACCAATCAACCTTAATTACCAAGAACTGCCAAATAGAGCCTCATTAATATCATTTTTCCAACGTATAAAAACAATAATGTGCTTCTCTACCAAACGCTAGTTAGAGGATGCATCCAAAATGTTGTCTTAAGTCTACAACTAAAGTAATCTAAAATCACGATCCAGAACAAACACTATTTTAAATTAACAGTCTACTAACACTAACGCAAGAAATGTTGAGATATTCTGCCAAAAAAATACACGCCTAGAGAACACTGAACTATCATTAGGGAAGAACTTTCATTGTCAAGTGCCAGGATCATGGAATCATCATTTTCATAACTGCAAGTCGCACAAGGTAGGCCAATACAAAAAGCATAGAGAAAATATTTGGGAAGTGTAAAAGTTAAGTAGTAGGAATGACATAAGTGTTACGTCAGTAATGTCCACCACAATAATTAGTTTGTTGGATACTATGAAAAATAAGAAGCAAATATTCTAATAAAGTTTTGAAAGTTTTGAAGCAAAAAAAATTCACAAGACATTTGAAAGATTGTCTTTAACTAGATATTGATCACAATAAGTAAGAACAAATAACACAAAGATAAAGATCCAATGCATAAATAAATTAACTTGGAATACCAACCTCCTCTATGAGTTGCCGATTAGAATTTATTCGGAGTAGAGCATGCTTCGGCGGAGATTGAGGAAAATATTTCTTGGGAAAAACCCTTTTAAGCTACAGAAAAAAAAGGCAAAAGTTAAAAGACAGTATTATCAAATGAAAGTATATTTAATTATAGATTTAGTACAGTGCTTCTTAAAAGCATGAATCCATTTTTTTAAATCAACACCTACCACATACCATAAATATGATCCTAGGGCATTTATATAATGCAGAATAATTATGAGGACATCCAAGAAGAATAGTTGATTTCATGGCTGCATGCATGTGAATCAAGAGTGGTAAATGCGGGTGAATGGTTAACCATTACTTCCCTTAGTGGGAAACCTGAAACTGTAAGAACTGGCTGGATTAGTTAAATCAAACCAGTCCTTTCTCAAGCAGTGAGCGAGCACAGGCAGCTAGCGGGCACAGGCGAGCACAGGGTGCAACAGACAAGTTCGATCACGTGATTGAGCAAAATAAAGTGATCGTAAGAGAAAGGTTATGACTCCTCACATGAGCTAACTCCAATTCGTTCCATCCAGTTAAGCCAAATGAGAAAATTCATGAGTTGGGAGCAAGGACAAAGGGGAAGAGAAGATTTTGGGTAAGAAACAAAGAATGTGTGGAAGAAAAAATAAAAGAGGAGAAGAATTTGTCTAATGTTGAGGATGTCGGAAGATCTGGGCTCGGCGGAAGAAAAAAGAAGTGAGCCTCCATTTCTAGCAACGGGAAAGAGCAAGCAATTTAATTTTATGCCTTTTTTGCAAGGTTCTGAAAACCGGACCGGAAAACGAATCGGAAGAAGGAGAGGTTCACGGTTCGATCGGTTCGACCGGTCGAACCGGGGTCGAACCGGATGACGTAATAAATAATATTATTATTATAAATATTTAATAAAATTAACAAAATATAGAAAGATAATAATCATATAATTTAATATAAATTATTACTAATTTATATTACATATTTAAATTTAATTTATAAATATAAATTATTTAAAAATTCACAAATATAAAATTATAAATATAATATAATTAAATATTTTAATAAAAAAATATTAAGAGTTTTATAATAGTATTTATATTAATTATTATTAAGTATAATATTTATTTAAGAAATATTATTCAAAAAACTTGAACCGGCCGGTTTTAAAAAACCGGGACCGGTTCGCCGGTTGAACCGGCGGTTCATCCCAAAACCGCCCGGTTTAATGCAAGGGCGGTTTTCAGACTGGACCGAACCGGTCCTCAAACCGGTTCACAGTTGAACCGGTCGGACCGGCCGTCCGGTCCGGTTTTTAAAGGATATGAATCATTCTAAAAGAGTCATTAGGTTGAATCATTAAATTTAAGAAGTTTGACCTAATATTATTATGAAATTTAATTAGATATTTTTAATTTATTTTAGGACTAAGAATAATCCTTAAGAGAATGTGAAAAGGTTGTACCGATTGTTGTTGTTAATATTGATGCATTAACCCAAATGATAATAACAATAACTCAAATAATTCAGAATTTAAGATTTCGGCTATCAGGAAGTAATAGTAGTAACATCTCAATGGATAAATATTTAAAATTATTTTAGTATATGCAGCTGTTATTATTTAAATGAGTAGGACTAATAGAGACTGAAAATTTGTTATTAAGGATTGAGAAGATATTAGATAGCATGTTTTGTCCAGAAGAGAAAATGATTTCATTGGCGATATTTGCAGTTGATGGTGAGGCTAAAATGTGGTGAAGGCAGTATCATGATAAGTTTGGTATCCAAATTAAATGTTATGAGTTTACACAGGTGTTCAGAAATTGGTTTGCATCTCTTTTTGCGAGGAGGCAAATTCAAAATAAATTTTTGAGGCTAGAGCAAGGAGATAGATCAGTTATGCAATATAAAACTGAATTCACTATCTTATCAAGATATGCTCTTCACTTAATTCATACAGCAGAATAAAAATATCATAGATTCTTATTTAGATTAAAGGATGAAATCAGACAGCCTCTTATTCCTCTAGAGACTGAGGATTATTCTGTTTTGGTGGGGAGAGAAAGAATAATTGATATAGATATTCAAAAAACACAAAAGAGGCGTGAAATTTAGTAAAGGAAAAATATAAATGTTATGGAAGCTTCATAAGATTATCAAGCTAGATGTTTCACGCTATCTGGAAAGTCTAATTAGAAGAAATCAAAACCGAGTGGCAGCGGCAGTCAAATGAGTTTGAATAACTATAAGAAATGTGGGAAACAACACAAAGGTGAATGTCTATCTGGAACCAATACTTGCTTGTGGGGTTATCAACCTAGTCATATATTTAAGAACTGTTTTATTCTTGGATAAAGACTAGCAGAAGAAATAAGAACAAATGTTGAATCATCTTAGAGAAATTTTGACAGACAGGGGATAACAAAATTAGTTGTATCAACTCCAGGGACAAATCAGAGTTGACCTACCACTCAGCCTATAGTGTAAACATTATCTCAGCAAAATAATAAGGATTCACTTGAAGTAAATTAAATAAGTATAAAAGTTGTTAAACAAATAATAACAATAGAAAATTTTTATAGGTATGATAATAATTAAAGATAGATCCATACAAATTTTCTTTGATATAGGAGCCTCATATTCCATCATTTCAGAGAAATTTATAAAACTAGTTGGTTTGATTATTTTTAAAACACCTACATTTTTAAAGGTTTTGATGTCAAATTGGTCCAAACTGAATGTTAACATTTTGTTAGATAGATTTCAAAATAAATGAGAAAATATTTGAAACAATTCTGAATGTATTATCATTACATGAATTTAATGTAATTTGGGGAATGGATTGGCTAGCCAGTCATTGTCACTCTAGACTGCAATAAGATTATAAGAAGATTGTTAAATTTAAAATTCTAAGAAAACAATAATGTAAATTTTATGGAGATAGAGAACTTATCTCCATGGTGATAACTTATTTGAAAGCTTACAAATTACTATCCAAGGGATATCAGGGTTTTCTTGCTCAGATAAATAATACAATTAAAGAAGTTAAAAAGTTGAAAAACATACCTATAGTCAAAAAATATCCATAAATATTTTTAGATGATCTGTCAGGTTTACCAACAAAAAGATAAATAGATTTCACTATTGAATTATTGTCGGATTCATAACCAGTAGCAAAAGCACCTCACAGAATGACAGTGAAAGAATTACAACAGTTAAAAAGTCAATTGCAGTAATTATTAGATAAGGGATTTATTAGGTCAAGTTCGTCATCATGGGGAGCTCCAGTGTTATTTGTAAAGAAAAAACTAGGAGTTTCAAAATGTGTATTGATTACTAAGAATTGAATAAGCTCACAATTAAAAATATGTATACAATACCCAGAATTGATGATTTATTTGATCATCTTGAGAAAGCTGCAATTTTCTTTAAGATTGATTTGCATTATGGATATCATCAGGTGCATATTAAGGAAGAAGATATTGTCAAACTGTTTTCATAACAAGATATGGTCATTGTGAATTTGTATTGATGTCATTTGGGATGACTAATAATCTAACAATATTTATAAATTTAATGAACATAATTTTCAAACCATTTTGTTAGACATGCTCTTGAAGAGCTGGCAGAACCGGTTCCACCGTCTATTTCAGACGGAATAGATCCACCCGATATTTTTTTTTTTTTTTTTTTTTTTGGGGGGGGGGGCATCAACATGTGGGGCCCAGCACTCATAATTGTGGTGTTATGGCTTTAATTAAGAAGGATTTAAGAGAAAAAATTCAAATTCCAGGGGATGTTTAGGGATTTATTATATGCTTTAGCTTTAAGTAGTATTTTCTATTCGAGGGTTAGGGATATATTGTATGTTTTGAAGAATTTAGTGTTTTTTTAGGTTTTACTTGGGCTCTAGTCTCTGATTAGAGATTAGAAGACTAGGATCTTCCTCTCCAATTGAAGATCCAATTGTTTCTTACTATTTTCATTCATCTACTACCAAATTAAAAGCTTTTCCCTCTGTTTTTTTTTTCTCTCAAAAATTGCTTGGAAGCATGCCGGTTTTCTTATTTCAGCAGCAAAATTCTGCATTTTCTCTTATTTCCTATCAAATTGGTATCAGAGCAACTTTCTGGGGCGATTTTGGCAGATTCTTGTAGAAATTTTTTTCGTGTCCGTTCCATTAGTGGTTTTGGGGAAAAAATACTGATTTTTTAGTCTCACAAAAATTCGGGTATCAATGGCAGCCAAGAAGGTGGATGCGTTGGAGAGGGAGATGAACCAAATCAAAGCAACAGTGGTGGACGGAATTTCCTCCGTGGAAGAGCAATTTTATGACTTGCGTGACATGGCCTGTGAAGAAGACATTGGATCTCAACAACCAAATGGAAAAAATATGCATTCTGCAATTCGTAGGGACGAAAATGAGGTGGAGTTCGTAGAGGGAGAAGGAAGAAGACCCCATTTAGAGCATTTCTAGAGGGAGGAGAAAGGAGGTAGGTATAGGGAGAGGCGTGGATATGTGGGGTAGGAGCAAAGGGGTGCTGATTGGGAATGAAGGGAGGGAGATCATGGTTGTCGAGGTACTAATTTTGAAGGAGAGGGGAATTCGAAGAAGAATTTGGGTATGAACGTTCGAGGGAGGATCGAGAGAGGAGGGGACTTCTATGAGCAATTCTTCGCCCTGACACAAGAGGGTTCTATAACAGAGTACAACAACATATTTGAGTACTTACTAGCAGGCTAGATCGACTTTCTGAGACTGTGCTAGAGGGAAATTTTCTGGAAGGGCTCAAGCCCGAGATCCGAGCGACAGTTAGAGTAATGAAACCGCGTGACTTAGGAGAGGCCATGGAGCTGGCGTAGTTGGTGGAGGATCAGAAGTATCTGGAGAGAGGAGCCAGGGGGAGGAGCTCAAGGGGTTCGTACAGGATGACCACCATTTTCTTAGCTCCTAAGGGATCACCACCAGGAGCTTGCGTGAGGCCCCAAAAGAGAAGCTTAGAGGAGGATTTGGGGGGAACTTCAAGAATCTAATGGAGAAGTTGCAGTTAAAGAGGGCAAAAGGGATTGTGCTTCAGGTGATGAGAGGTACACGTCATGGCATATGTGTAAGGACCGAAGTCTTCAGGTTCTCACCTTCTGTGATAACGAGGAAGTTGAGGATGGTGAAAGTGAAGTAGGGATAGAGAAGGAGAAGCTACATCTAGACATGTTAAAAGTCTCCTTGAACTTAGTGGTAAGGTTCACCCTGAATCACACCATGAAAGTGTAAGGGGAGATAACAGATAGAGAGGTGGTGGTGCTGATCGATAGTGGGGCTACCCATAATTTTATCTCCAATCAGATCATTAACCAGTTGGGAGTGAAATTTGGGAAGGTGGAGATGGGTAGAGGAGTATGTAGGGAAATAGTGCAGACTATTCAAGGGTTCAAGTGAGGGAGGATTTTCTCCCATTGATATTCAACAAAGGTGGATGAGATATTTTGCTAAACTTTTTAATGAAGATTGAGAAAATAAGATTGACTGTAGTGACATTAGCACCCTAAATAAAAATAAAGATTTATGTTTTTAACAGTGTATTAATAAAACAGAAGTTAGAGAGGCTTTAAAGAAAATGAAGGGTGGAAAAGCTGTCAGACCTGATAATATTCCAATAGAAGTGTAGAAATGCTTAGGAGATGAAGGAACTTCTTGGCGCTATGGAGAGTTCTTGATAAGAAAAGAGTTAATAGCGGTTATATTCAAATCATTAAAGATATGTATGCAGGAGCTATTACTTGTGTTCAAACACAAGGTGGTTTGACCAAGTATTTCCCTATTTCGGTTGGGTTACATCAAGGATCAGCCTTAAGCCCATATCTTTTTGTTTTAGTCAAGGATGTTCTCACTATTGCAAAAGGATGTACCTTGGTGTATGCTTTTTGCTGAAGATATTCTTCTTGTTGATAAGACTAGAGAGGGAGTTGAAGGTAAACTTGAATTATGGAGGTCAATCTTAGAGTCTAAAGGTTTTCGCTTGACAAAATAACTATGAAATGATAGATGAAGCATGAAAAATTTTAATAAACAGTCACAGTTTGAGAAACCAACAGGCATATTATTTCCCTCCAATGTGACGTCAAGGACTTGAGACCATTCCAAAATAAGTAATTTAATTAGTAATAGGGCTATAAAGTATTATTATGCTAAATAATCAGAAATTTTTCTCCAAAAATCTACGTTGGCATTCAACAAAAAAAACTGGATTGAATCTACAATGGCATCAATGAGAGATAATTTTGTCAAACACTAAAAGACTTGATGTTGTTGTTGTACTAAAAGACTCCTTGTTTCACATTATATGAGCATGGAACAAAAACAAAACCAAATATCAAGATTAGTCCAAGAAAGGAAAAGAGAAATTTTAAATATATTTCTTGAAACAATCATAGGATATGAACGTGCAATTATATTTGTGCATCACATATAAATGAAACAAATTATATTCTCATGCTATGGTCTTACATCAGAAATCAACTTCATGAAGTCACTGAACCGACGAAGCACGCCATGGCCACTACTAATTCCTTGAGGAGATTGCACACCAACTTGGATCCTGTAAAACTGCCCTTTAAGGATGTTAAATGTTGAAAAATAAATAGTAATATCATAAATTTATTTGCTTTAAAATCTGCCGAGTAGCAATGTACTAATTTTCCATCCAGCAAGACATGATTCTCGTTTCAAGGTTAAATCATAGTAACTTTGGCTATTATACGAGGTAAAACCATAGTTTATACAACAGAACATCATTGAGAACATAAAAAAATAAATTTGACTAAATAAAAATGAATAAAATAAAGCATGAGCCCGTAAGCAATGGATCTAGTAGTAATACTTGTACTAAAAAATTTCAATTTTTTAAACAGAGAATTTAAAAAATATTTTATGAAACATCATTTTGACTTTGAGACATAAGATCATAGTACAATAACAGAGCAAGTGAAATATTACAACTATAGGATTCCACAAGCTGTCACTTGATGCTCCTGATCCGGTTTGAACAAGCCAAGAAGGAATCATGACATAGTAACTCCAGCCAGTTTTGGGATCATGTGGCCATAGAGTGTTTCTTCCCCCCTGCACAATAACTTTTTATTAAAACACATGCATTGAAGATTTGTTACACAAAAGTACAAAAGGAGGTAATAAATTCAATTTTCAAAGAATAATAACTGAAATTACATGCAGCTATTTGGCTTAAACAACAAATTTGGAAGTATTGAGAGCATATTCTGGGTTGCAACCTATCTAATCATATTCATGATGGAATAAGCAAAACAACATATTGAAGCTTAAATTTGTTTCAGTTTTAAATCTTGCGGGACATTTCAGTGAAGAATCAATGTAATGGAGTCCAAACTTTAGTGTTAGGTTAAGAAAGTTGTCATCATTACCAATGTGAAATGGTATACTGAAGACCACACGACACAATAAAATATGGAACTTTCCAATGTCTTCCACATGTCCAGATTGGTTTTGTTAGTTAGAGTTGTTATTAAGTTAGGATATTTCAGATATTTGTGCCTGGCTTCTTAGGGTTTTCGTTGCACTATTCATGGGCATGTATTCTAATTCACTATGGCTTTTGCATGAAAAACAACCAAAGACTCCATCTACATGGAATAGCTAAAATTCGTTTCCTTTATCATTTGTTCTTCTCAATTTTTATGTCATTCATTTTTCACTTTTTTCATGGGCTTGACAGCAGCCTTAAGGTGTAGTTTGGAGTTTCATTCCAAATTTATCATAGCCTTGGATCTCCATTTTGTTAGCAAACATGCTAAGCCAACTGTGGAATGGATGTTATCTTCATCTATTGCGGTTCTACTTTGCATTGAGGGTTTAAAATTCAATTTTTTTAAAAAAATAAAAAGATAAATAAAAAAGTACTATATTGCTCCTATGCTCATTTATACAAGTTTTTACACTCAAGAAAAAGTTTATGCTTGCGAGCGCACGTGTATATTTATATATATAGTTATTTATTTAACTAATTACCTAAGTCTTTATTTTATTGTTCCTAATATTATTTTGCATTAAAATACATGAGAAGAAATACCTGACACATGAGTTGGAGTTGTTTACAATTGTATTTACTCTAGAAATTTGGAGGCATCAATTATCTACACGGTAAGATGTTAAGTGTTCATTGACCATAAAATTTTGAAGTATATTTTCACTCATGAAGAGTTAAACTTGAGACAAAGAAAATGGTATGACCTGATAAAGAATTATGATTTAGAAATATAGTATTGCCTTGGAAAAGCTGATGTTGCATTGTTGCAACTAATGCATTATATAAAAAAATCTAGTAAGCGTGCAAACTAGATGTCCACCCAAGAAGCATAGCTAATTAGAAATAGGGAGGAATTAAAATTGGAGATAAAAAAAATAGAGTGATTTGGGCATAGGTAATATATAATGGATGACTAAAAATCCTAATTTATAGTAAAGAATAAGATATACACAAAAGGTTTGTAAGGAATATCAGAAGATGATTAACAAAATACAAGCAGGCAAGAGAAAAAATATCAGTATAAATGAGCATAGTGTAATGAGAATCAATTTACATATTTATATCGAAAGAGATTTTGAGTTGATTGAAGAGATGCTACATGGGCTAATCAATCGGATTAATCATCCATATAGCTTGTACTGAAATGTATAAAAGTTTAAAAGCATAATTTTGTTGCTATGGGATGAAGCAATATGTATCTAAATATGTAGAAAATGTGAATCATGCCAAATTATGAAAGCTAAACACTAGAAGCCCAGTGGAATGTTAGTCTTTTCCAATATCAAAGGGGAAATGGGAAAATATAGCTATGGATTTTGTTAAAAGAATTTCTCCAAATCAAAATAAAGGCATGATTGTATTTGGGTTGTAATAAATAGATTGAAAAAATCAACACACTTACTATTTATTCAACAAACCGATTCAATTGAGAAACTAGCAAATATGTTTGTGAAGAAAATTATCAGATTATATGAAATTTCTGAGATAATTGAATTATATAGAGATGGCTGATTCACATTCATATTGTTAAAGAGTTTTCATGAAAATTTGAGAACTAAATTGCATTTCATCACAACATTTCATTCATAAATAAATGGCCAATTAAAAGAAAAAACTATTTAGGAGTTAAAAGATCTCCTAAGGCAATATATGTTGGATTTTTTGGATAGCAATATCTATCAATCCAGTATTAAAATGCCACCTTAAAAAAAATTGTATAGCAAGAAATGCCAAACTCATCTAGATTGAGTTGAAGTTAGAAAAATAGAATTGATGAGTCTACAATTAGTGGATCAAGTTACTAACAAAGTCAAGTTTATCAGAGATAAATTGAAAGTAGATCAAAATTATTAGCAAAAATATTATGAATCAAAGCATAAAATCGTTGAATTAGAAGTTAGGAAATTTGTATTCTTAAAAATCAAAACTATGAAAGGTATCCTAGATTTGGCCAAAGAGAAAAGTTGAGTTAAAGATACATAGAGTCATTTGAAATAATTGGCATTGCTAATATATGTTAGTGTACACAATATTTTCCATATATCAATGCTCTAAAGATGAGTTAAAAGTGAAAATTATAGTGCCTAAAAACGAAATTGATGTGCAGAGTAATTCGACATATTTTGAGGAACAAAAAAGGATATTATACTTTAATATAAAAGAGACTCTTATGTGAAAATAAAATTGAAGCATAGATAAGAAAAAGAGGCAACCTGTGAAAAGAGGAAAATAAAGCAAGAAGGCTCCTCAACTGTTTGATTGATTATGAAATAAGCAAATTTTAAGGATGAAGTTTCAATAATGAGAGAAAAATTATAATATTCATAAAATTTGAAAAAATATAGTATTAAAAAGTTATAAATTTTATATCCCATATTTTGCATCTCACAAATATGTTTAAAACTATTTTTACAAAATTCTATATTTTATTAGGATCACTTTAATATATATAATGTTATTTATTTAACAAAATACCTAGGTCTTTAATTTTAATGTTCTTAATATTAATTTACTACTCAATCAAGTATTGCATGGTAGCTTTCACGTCCTTTTTCGCTTTTGATGACATGCACAGGATAATGTATTAAGCAACAATTGTGATTGATTTTAATGGGTTTTAAGTATAAATCGATATAATTATATTGGTATATTAATATTTATAACACTACATGCATTGGATGATGTATTAAGCAATATAATTGATTGTTATATTATTTAAAACTTGAGCATTTCTCATATTCCCTTAATCCCATAACTCTAGCCAAAAAATCAAGAGAAACTGAGGCGAGCAAAGAAGTCAAAGGCAGAACAAGAAGAGGAGAAGAGAGCTAGGGTTTTGAAGGTAAAATTCAATTTTTTTATATCATTTCCAATTCAATGACTTTGGATATTAGTTAAACGCTTTGATGCCTGTATGAGGAGGAATTACTTTAAGGTAAAATTTTAATTTGATATTAATTCATTTTGAATTTAAATTGTAAATTAGATAAAGTTATAAATTAAGAAATTTCTAATTCATAAATAAGAACAAAGTTTTAAGGTGATCGTAACAAAGAAGTTTATCCTATTATTAATCATTAATTGATAAGATGCACAATTTCTAATTAATGAAATAAATTACTTTAGTCATTTGAAATAACAACAACAACAACATCAAGCCTTTACCCCACTATGTGGGGTCGGCTAAATGAATATTTTTTTCTCCATTGTGTCTAATTAAGAGTCAAATTCTCATTTAAATTTAGTAAAAGAAAGGTTCTTTCTAATATTTTCTAGCCAAGTCAATTTGCAAGCAAATTTATATATATTTAAATGTGCATACAAGCAAGATATTAGAAATTATTCATATAGCATAGTGCATGTTTATGCTTGCACTTATAATCGCATATTTAGGGACAATGTGATTAGCTAATTCAAAATGAATGATGTATTCATTTAAATGTTCAACAATGAAAATGAATTGAACTTAAAAAAACTTTCTAATGTAGCCTTTGGGCTGATTATTATATTATCATAGGTGGTAGAGATATGATACAGTCCACAATTTTATGATAGCTATTGAATTTATGCATATATGCATGGCACATTCTAAGTTTAACATATTAATTGGCTTCTATTTCACGTAGAGATAAAAATAGGGTTGAGCTTGAGTGAGGATCAAATTTTGAACAACTACCCTATGTTTTGATGTAAGCTAAAAAACACAAGGCATGAATATGATGAAAATTGATGTTATGAGCACGAACTCCAAAATTTATTAGAATCGCTTGAATTGAATGAATAGAAAATTTTGAAAATAATATGTATTAAATAATAATAATTAGTTGCAGCCAGCATGATAAAAAAGTACCAGAAAAAATCAATGGTCAGTTAGCACAACCCAGAATGGTAGCTAAGGTACCTGAGAATGTTGCACCTGTTGAAGGCAATGCTTCTAGAGCAAGAAATACGCTATAGTTGCAATAAATCCTAGATCCGTGATGTTGGTAAATGCGATTTAGATACAAGTGATCAAAATGATAATGTCTATGATGCAAAAAATGTAATATTTTATAAAGCCTGCATTACTTGTTGCACCAACAACACCAGCAACACGTGTACTATTTCAAGTACCAGTGCCAATGTAGAGATGGATAAATACTTAAAGTTGTTTCACAGCTTTAAGTCTCCTATGTTTAACAGAGTAGACGATAGAGCTGTAAGGGATTTAATTATCAGGATTGAGAAGATCATAAATAACATGAAATGCCTAAATGAAAAACGAGTATCTTTAGCTATATTTGCATTGAAGGGAGAGGCAAAGAGGCAATGGAAGGGCTAAGTTTTAAGAGATTGGTTCACTCCTACAAGTGAGGCAATGCAAAAAAAATTTGTAAATCTAACCTAAGAATAAAATATTTTGATTCATTATGAGACAAAATTTACATCATTATTCAATTATGCTCCACAATTGACATGAACAACAAGTGAGAAATGTTATAGATTCTCGAAAAGGTTGAGGAATCAATTACATCAGCCTATAATTTCACTTCGTATAGAGAGTGCAAGGCCCTTGAAGCATGATATGGAAATGGTAAGGCGGAAATAAAGAAACAATAATAAGAAGAGACCAACTGATAGTTGATCATATAGTAAATTGAAAGGAAGCAAAATTTTAATTATGGAAGCAATAATAGCATGAAGGATAGGGTGTTATTCTGGAGTATGCTACATGGGATAAGTCTCATCAATGAAGTGTTTGTTGAATGATGAGAAGTGCTATCTATGTGGGGAGCAAGTTCATATAAAGAAAATTTTCCAAAGAAATGTCCTAGGTGACAAGGTGTAGAGAGCAATTCAGAAGGTAAGCAACCTAGAAGTAGAAAGTTTGATATGAACAAACAATCATTAAAGAAAAAGGGAAAATCATTTGGAGCCAATGCGAGAACAGTACTAAAATGAGTATTTGTTTTAACATCTTAGGAACCCAAGGAGTCTTTAAAGGTGGTAACAAATATGATTAGCATTTTTATTATAGAGCTTTTTGTTTAATTATAAATGTTCTTCAATAAGTTCCATATTGAACCTACCCACTTTACTCTGAGTTTGCATGTCATATTATCTATCGGTGATAGGCTAATAGCATGTTTGCTAGTTTGTTATGATGTGTTAATATTGTGATAACTAGTAGAATATTCTGGTTTGATTTGATTTTGGTACCTTTCACAAAATTTGGTATGATTTTCTGGTATGAAATGGTTGGTTAAGTACGATGCCACCATCAAGTGCTTGAAGAAGAAAGCCAAAATTGATTTTTCCAATGATAAGGAATTTTACTTTCAAAGTCAAAAAAGGGCCGTGTCATCACTTATTACCGGTGAATAAATGAATGAAAGTGGGTAAATTAATAATTTTAGTAAATTTAAAAGTTATCAAAGATACTGCTAGTGAAAATAGTACTAGTCATGCAGTTGACCCCACATAATGGGATAAAGACTTCATATTGTAGTGTTTGTTGTCCAACAGAAAAAAGTAGTTCAAATTGTTCTCTCCAATCCAAAGAAAAATCCAGTGGTTGAGTTTTTATAAAGTGGAAGAAGACACAAAAACAAAGAGTGCACTTGTTGTTTATAGCAAGTACAAGAAGAAAATAGTGAGGTAAAGATATCTACAGTGGATATATTCAGTCACTAGATATCCAAATACTCTTAGATCATTCAAAGGCACAAAAGAAAAAAACTGCAACCCTCATTTTCCTATCTTACCCTCTTAATTGCCAATTTATGTCATATGTTTAAGAGGTTGGAGCCAACTTAAAATTTATTTGGTTTTATCCAGGAAAGATTTTCTCTAAAGATCACTTTTGTGTTAAGAAAATTGATTAACATGCAGCAAGAGCAATGAACAAAAGGGGAAATTTTTAACTTAAGCATCATTAGTAGTGTAATTAACTGATTCTTGCTCTTTTTTAGATTAAAAAAAATAACATTGAAGATAGCCATTGGGAGCAATAAATCACATCTAATGGGCGATTTACTCTTTAATTTTTTTTTAATAAGAATTAGTAATCCAATTTCTCCATTTGTGTAACTATACAGGTATGTTATCCCTATGGTTAGTGTAAGGTTTTAATTTTATAACCCTATTTGACAATTTTGATAATATATAAGTAGTTAATAGTTATCCCTTGACTCGACACGTTAACTCACAGGCTAGCTCATTTAAAAAATATTAATATAAAATATGTTTAAATGTATTAGAGTTCAAGCATAAAATTATGAAACATATTTAAAAATTTATCTCACTTTCTTATTCAAGTAATTTTTTCTTATTTATCTTCTAATTTATTATTCTTGTTATAATTTTATTATAATAATTATTTGGAACATTGCATTACATCAAAATAAGGAAAAATATAATACATTCAGTTAATTACGTTACTAATTATGCTTATGCATGGTCAGTCGCCCGTTCAACAGGTGATTTGCTTGTGCATGACAAATTGTTAGTAGAACGGGCGATTATGCCAAGTTTTAATTTTTTAAAAATGAGCTTAATCAATTAATTACGTTACTAATGATACTTACGTTAAAAATTTCCCCTAAACAAAAATCATTTTTAATAAGTTGTTTTAGTTCATCACTCGAACACTTGGGCCTCTTTATACACTATATAATTCTAGATTGTATGGCTTTTTTCTTGATGTAATAAATCATCTTATCCAACATCAAGTTTAGTTCAACTACTACTTCCAATCTACTTCTCCAAACAACTATCTTGAAAATTTACCGCTTCTCATCTATTATGTTTTGTCATCTTATCCTAATGATTTTTTTTTCCTTGTAATTCAAAGATAAGGCATACTCTAAGTCTACTTTCTCCGGAGAAAACAGTTTTAAACTTCAACTCTCAGATTTTAACCACCATTCAATATATCATAGATACATACAGTTAAGTATCAACAAGCAATCCCATGCCACAAAACTCAAGCTCAACTTCTGTCTGCTCAAGATCCACTACTCAAAAATCAATAACATAAAAAGAAACAAGTTATTCATCCCGGATTCAACCTATACATTGCAAAAAAATATAAAAAAGACCTAGGGAAAGAAATGAAAAAGCAAACCTAAGATCATATAGAAAAAGAAGTAGGTACCCATTTCTTCGGGGGAGGGCTCCAGTCCATGCCAAGTGGAAGCGGCGAGGTACCGTCATGGCGGTGCTTCGGCGGGCTTTTCCTCGGCATCACCACTACCAATCCGCAGGATCGGCTGGCAGACGGAGATGAGGATGGAATCGCCGGCGACGAAGCGCTTTGGGTATGCGCGAAGCCAACGGTGTGGCCGACGACTTGATTTCTCCACCGCACTTTCCTCGCTCGTTTGGTTTGTTTGCCCTGCGCTCAGTCGGGTCCAAACCCCTGGCGACCGTGCCGTCACGCGCACGTGTGCGTTCAGACGTGCTCATGTTTTTTTTAACAATTTTGTAAATTTGAGTTTACAAGCCTTATGCTCTTAAATAGGAATTTTTATTGTCTCAGGTTATCTGACATAGGGCTACGTTTGGTATTGCTTAATTACGCGCCACGTAGCAGCCTCATTTATGGACCCGACCCGGCGAATATTTGATTTATGGCACGTGCGAATTTTGAATTTGACGGCCCGACCAGCGGACCCGAAAAATTTCCGGTGGACCCGAAAATTATGTATAATTTTCAAATAAAAATCATCGTATTTCACTTCAGTCATCATTTGCTTGCATATACGAAGCTTTATTTCCGACAACTGTTCATCTTCTTCCAAGTTACAAGCTCCCCGCATTTGCGTTTCATATACTTCAGAGAAACAATGTCTCAGGTTAGTTCTTTTTTTGATAAACAATGCCTCAACTTCTTCTTTTAAAATGTTTAGGGTTAGGGTTTATGGACAAAGTCCTATAGCTGCTGAAATTTTAATCTTTCGTGAAGAAATAATCTTAGAATCGATGTCGGTATTACTCGGTACATATTAGTATTGCTCGGTACTGCTCGGTACTGAGTGATATTGGCAGTTATAAACACTCGGTACTGCTCGGTATTGGTGATTAATGGTCGGTATAAGCTTAGATAAAAATATAAAAGATATTATTGATTTAGTTTCGAGTTAAATACACTCGGTATTTCTTGGTACCGAGCAATTTTGGCAGTTATAAGTACTCGGTACTGCTTGTATTATCGATTAATGGTCGGTATTAGCTCAGTTATATTGCTATGAACTGCTAAATATTTATAACCATTAGTTCGTATAAGCTTCGGTATGTTGATCGGTACTGCTCGGTACTACTCGGTATTGCTCGGTATTATGAACAATAACTCGGTATAAGCTTGCTTTAATAGTCCAAATCATGTTATATACTCGGTACTCATCGGTTTACCTCTATTATGTTCGGCACCGATTGACCTTTGTATGTATAATTTAATACTCTAAATCGCTTGTCTTTAATACTCGGTATCTGTTATGCAGGGATATACTCCAAAGATTCATTTCAGATGCCGAACTTCGACTTTTAGAGAAGTTTGTAATTAACTTGTTCGGAGATTTGGATATCCTTTTATTGAAAGACTACGACAGCTACAAATAAGCAAGTTCCTTATGGTTCATCTTATACATCAGAATGTTCCACTTATGTATATGTTGCTATCGAAGTGGGATTTGAAGACTAAAAGTTTTATTATTAAAGGACATAGGCTAGAGTTCACATCTGATGAGGTTGCCTTAATCATAGGAATGCCTAATAGAGGTATTATATTTGCCGTTGGCAATGATAGGTCTAGTGGAAAAACATCTAATGACATTCGCTATGATATTGAGAGGATGGATAATTCAACTCCAATGGATGATCTAAAGAAAAGATTTGTTCTTTACCTATTATCCAATATTTTTTATCCAATGACGAACTTCCATATACCATCATCTATCCTGGAAGTTGTCAAAAATGTTGATAGTTTTAATACAAATAATTTGCGAGAATCAATTAGGAGTTTCCTAGTTAATGAATTCAACCTTGTTGCTACTAAACAATTAAAGGGATGCGCACTAGGTTATGTAAATGTTTTGTCATGATTGTAATTGTGAGTGTTATTATTTTGTTCAAAAGATCTTTGGTAAATTTCTAATTTCCATAACAAATTTAAATTGTATTCATTTTTGCATATTTGGTTTCTTGAACATACAACCATTCATGTCGCAGAGGATGAACTATCCCACCCACGTTTTACTCGGTGGAATGGTAATTTTATGTACAGTAAGAAAGACATAAATAGTATATTTGCAGACCTTCAAGATCATGAGGTAGCATCTCTATGTCTTTTCATTTAAATGTCTACTAAATTTATATGTTTAAATGTTTAAATTAGATGAAATATTATATTTTATACAGATTCTCAATTAGTTCCGAGAAATAACAGATGATGAGAAGGCTTTATTTCACAGTCCTTTAAAGATCTCATTCAAGTCGTCAAGTCTATCTCCACCTAATCCAGCCAATCCAATACGGGTGGCAAGCCCAATAAGGGTGGCTTGTCCCACCTAAACATGATTCATCTCCATCTACTCCTAGTAGTCCAGTCATGATACCAAGTCCAATCAGGGTGGCAAGCCCATATAAATAGCATTCATCTCCACCTACTCCAGCTAGTCTAGTTAGAGTGGCAAGCCCAACAAATCCTGATTCATCTACGCATACTCCGCCTAAATTAAGTCCAATAACAGATGAAACAAACCTGAAGATCTTAAATCAAGCAATATACAAGCTTTTTATTAAGGACAATTTTACGAAGAAGAAGTTAGCTTCGGTGGAAGCAATAAATAATTTACTTGAAAAGCGTGTAGTGATTTTGGAACAAACTATTTTTTATTTGAAAGAGGAGATTTTTTATTTGAAAGAGGAGATAAAAAAAGACAGTTTTGTATTGAAGTTCTTACAAGATCAGTTTTCTTCTTATTTTAAAACTTACAAGAATGAAATGTCTGTTGAATCTTCTTAATCTGCTACTGAATCTGAAAAAATTGTGTATAAGGATGCCACCTTGAGTAAGGATGAGGAATTTGATCCATCTTTACAAACCGGCATAGCGAGAAGAGTTCAGCTGAGAAATGATAGGAAGAGGAAACTTGTATCTACACCTTTTACAACCGGTGTTAGGAAGAAAAAAATTAAATAAAATTTTTCATCCAAAGAGAAGTTCAGTGTGTCAATTCCAAGTGATGCTCTTGCAATAGCACCTGAACTTACTCATGCTCCTACACCAGCTCCTACAACTGAACTTGATCCTGCTCCTGCACCACCTCCTGCAATTGAGCTTACTCAAGCTTCTAAACCAGATCTTACACCTGCAGTTGCTCCTCCACCTGATTCTGAGCCTGAACCTTCTCTAATACCTGCTCTTGAACCTGCTCATGAACATGCTCCTGCATCTATGGATGAATCAACCACGGGTCATGATAAAGCTATGATTATTTATGAAGTTGATGACTCAAAACAAATAGAATTGCGTCTTGCACCTCAAGCATTAGATTATCCTGGGCGATCATTAATAAGTGAAGATAAACGCATATTCATCGATAATTGCCTGAAATAATTCAAGAATAAGTGAGTATTGTACTTATACCGACCAAAACCAATCAATACCGAGCAATAATCTTGTTTATACCAAGAAAAACCAATCATTATCGAGCACTAATCTTCATTATACTCTGTATTATATTAATCATGTGATGTATAGTACGTTGATTAGTTTTTAATACATTATACCGAGTAGTACCAAGTAATACCGAGGTTTACTAATCGGTATTACTCGGGTATTATGTTAAATATACTTTGTACTACATCAATCCTATGATGTATATTATGTTTACTATTTTTTATGCATTATACCGAGTATTAATGACTAATACCGAGCTTTACGATTATATTTTTATTTTTTATTAATCTTTTTTAATTAATGTTTTTTGAATTATCCAGGAGCGACACTATTTTCGAGTTTGAATATGCAACAATTTATAGAAGCCAATTGGACGAGCTATTACTATCAGATGAGCTTGATAATAATCATTTGGATGCGTTTGCACATTTATTAATCCAGAGGAATGCCCTTTGCCCCGGGCTTAATCAACATTTTCTTTATATTTCAAGTTTCCATTGGGTTAGTAAACATTATTTATTCCTTGCGTTTGCTAATTCTATGTATTAGTTTTAAACATGTTGGAACTAATCACCACTACTATTTTATCTTATCCAGGGTTACTACGCCCAATCAAATGAGACGAACACAACTAGCTTCATATCTCATATAAACAGAACCATTATTAGGAATGTAAATTTGATTATTGTTCCTATAATAAACAGTAAACATTGGACACTTCTAGTATGCAATTTGAGAAAGAAACGGTGGGAGTTTTATGATTCATTACCGAAAAAGACACACTAAGCCATACTCCCAGAAGTTGTAAGTAATACCAATATTTGACTTTATTTTAGGAGTAACATTATTGTATGTTAATTTCATTTATATTTTCTAGATTTCTCATTTGTACAATGATACAAAGAACGCTTTTGATAAAGATATGATGAAATGGCCTATCAAAGGATTTAGAAACGTGCCAACACAAGATAACAACGTTGATTGCGGTATGTTTGTTTGTAAATATATGAAAGTTGTGATACAGCAAGAACATGTTCAATGGTATCGTTATAAGAACTGGCAATCTAGTATGCCATTATTCAGGGCTGAATTTTCGTATGCCCTGTTATGTACTAAAATTCAATAGATTATGGACTAAATGATGAAATAATTTTGTATATTTTCTGTGCATATCTAATGTGTTTTAATAATTTGTTTACTATATTGAAGAAACCCAAGCAATACTGATTAATCATTGATGAGTACCGAGTACTAAAAAGGATAAATACTGAGCAATACCGACTAATCAAAGACTAATACCAAGCAATATGAAAAAGATCGGTACTACTCGGTATTAGTTGAAATATGCTCGGTACTATATTAGTGAAGTTCAGTACATACTGAATACCGGGCAATACCGACTTCTGTGGACAAGTACCGAGTACTAAAAAGGACTAATATCGAGCAATACTAACTAATCAAAGACTAATACCGAGCAATATGAAAAAAGATCGGTACTGCTCGGTATTAGTTGAAATATGCTCAGAACTATATTAGTGCAGTTTAGTACACACCGAATACCGAGCAATAACGACTTCTGTGGACAAGTATCTAGTACTAAAAAGGACTAATACCGAGAAATACCAACTAATCAAAAACTAATACCGAGCAATACGAAAATAGATCGGTACTGCTCGGTATTAGTTGAAATATGCTCAGTATTATATTAGTGCAGTTCAATACACACCGAATACCGAGCAATATCAACTTATGTGGACAA